CCATATTTGAGTCGCATGCACATGAGGTCGAATCTGTTTGAAAGTCAGGCTGCTCATGATGTGAGCGTCGCGTGGCAGCAGTACAGGCGCAGCGCTGCCAAAGCATCCGCCCGTGCGTGCGTGCTACTGCCTGCCGTAGCCTTCACCACCCTCTTTCCTGTGAAACGCATGCTACTGCCTTATCTCCAGTATAAACTGTTTACATCTCTAGGGTGAAAATATGCAGACTGAAGGAACGAGCAACATCTGCTTACGGTGGATGCAGCATGATCTGTCTGAAGTTCGCAGTATATGTGTCTTGCTCGGTTGGCTACTGAGGGCTACGACCGTCTGCAACAGTTGCCTACAGTGTTAGTGCATGAATCAAAAGCCGGGTTGGGTCCTATGCTTGAGTGTCGCATTGCCATGCTGCAGGATGTGCAGTAACGTGTGTAGCAGATCATAGGCCACCCCCACCTTGCATCAGGCCCAGGGCTTGACATGGGTGTGCCGAGGATGCCTGCAGAGTGGATTGGAAGTAGCTGGCGTTTTGGCCTCACTTGTTTAGGGTTCAGTAAAGGCATTGAGTAGGCCTGTCGACGGTTGTTATGGCGGCGGATGCATACTGAGTTTGGCGAGTCCATAGATGAGGACGGTCAGGAGCTGCGGTAGTCAAAGGCTTAACGTAAGAGTAACAAAAAACAACTGACCTNATAGATGAGGACGGTCAGGAGCTGCGGTAGTCAAAGGCTTAACGTAAGAGTAACAAAAAACAACTGACCTTCCAGTCTGTAGGCACCTTGGAAACAGCAGTCCAAAGGACTTGGCTGGAAGGGAAAAGGCGCCTGATGGGTTGTAAGGTTCCCTGCTGCAGGTACTGCTGCAAGGCAACCCCAGGTGCAGGCGCAGCACGGCCATCTGTGATTCATGTACTAGCGGAGTACGCAGTTGTTGAACATTTACTTGGCCCTTGGCACACGTCCTTCTGGCGTGCAGGCTGCTTGCTAAGTTCGCGCACACCATATTGCAAATCTTGCTGCGAGGCATTCCCACATGCAGGCTTACACAAACAACAGTTTGGTGAAGGTAACAACACCGTAGGAAACGGTTGAACACACCATTGGCCCATAGTACCCAGCCTTCCCGTCGGTAGGGATGGTTGAGCCAACTGCAGAGTGCCCGTGCAGCAAATGGCCGGCAGAAGAGCCCGAGGTGCGTCCTTTTTCGGTGGGTCCTTTTCCTGGTTTTGACGATTTCTTCAACGTTGGAAGATCCTTGAAACTTGTATCGCCGTGTGCCGAGTGGAAGGAGCTTTCCCG